CCATCGTGAACTATCGACACGCCCGGTTGCAAGAGAGCTTCGCCAACCCACACAGAGGTCTTGGCTGTCAACGCACCATCTGCCCCTCTGCTGGGTCTTCCTTGCGTACTCTAGCGAGGACCTCCTTCATCATGGTGTTGAGAGGGGCGCCGTGAACTTCGTCATCCCATCCAGTGGTGACGCCAGATGCTCTCCGCTGATAAACGCCACCGCAACACGCAGCCAGCCACCTACAGGAAGGTGTCCAACTAATTTGCCGCACAAGGAAAATATGCTTCGCCGCGTGACAACGGAGGGCATGTCTGGGGAGTTCGTTTCCCCAACACAGGACGTCATCTTCTCCCCAGACCTGCAAACCAAGCACCCGTGCACCATCCTGTAGTCTCTCGGTTCCTTGCTGAGGAGGCCAAAGTTGTAGAGATGCTCCTTTCACGCCGCCCCGCAGATACGACTCCCCTGCTCAATCACATACCGCCATCAATATATGCAGAAGGTGCCGCTGTATGCGCCATCCTTCGTTAGAATGGCGTCAACAATCATCTGCATAATCGATGGCGCCCACATTGAGTCCAAACCCCATGCGGGTCAGGCAATACCGCTGCCCCTTGATAAGCACGGGTTTGATAGGGCCACAGTGATTGGTGCACACGCTTGAAGGTATGCCTTGCGATCCAGCACAGATACATTTGATCCTGCTTGTCGCCATTCCTTAGCTTCTCGGTACATACGCCCGCGGGCAGTAAAGGGTCCACGTGCTCGTTCAGTTCTCGATAGTCGAGCACCGCCTCACCTTTTGTTTGTTGTGCTGAGAACCGCCATTAGCGGATCAGGCCTTTTGGGGCCCCAATTCCTTCTCTGGATAAGGAACCAACCACCGTTATTAATCCAGGCTCGCAATTCCTTGTCGACCGCACGAGCTCATGGGGGATCTTATATCCGCACATTGTTGTACAGCTTCTCTGGCGGTTGATCGCCTGACCATTTCAAAGATACCGCCCAGGACTTTGTGCGCTGGTCGAACTCCGCACGAAAGTCAGGCCGCTCCAGCTCCATTGCTGCACCTAGAGCTAGACATGTTTCAGTGAACGCCCCACCCTCTTCGGCCAACACGGACACCACCCAATTTTTTGATGACGCCCATTCCCAGGAGCAGATCATAGCCGAAAGCAGCCCTCCGTCCACAACCAGGGCTTGTACAGCTACTGCAGGCCCATCGCCGATGCTTGCGCCGGATGACGCCACTCCACAAGAGGTTAAGCGAGCCCCGCCAACAGTCAGAACTGGAATATTTTTCTTGTCCCACGTGTCACAACATGCCTTGGCGACAAGGGTCTGGGTGCACCGGTGTCAACAAGCGCCGAGGCCACGCTCCCGTTAATCCGCACGCCACTGCGGGTAGCGCCTTTGTTCAGCGGCGATCTGGGAGAAGACTGGCGCTGTAGCTTACTCCCCGCTTCCGGACAGCTTCTTGCTACGCGGCCCAGCTTGTCGCAGACCTGTAGCAACGCATACGTTCCGTGTTCCTCGGTTATGCGATCCTTCGACCGCTTCGCAGTCTTTGGAGAAGTGGTTCAGTCCGCCACATTTATAGCACCTTATGTCCTCAGTTGGCGCGCGGGTGCTTCCACAGCTGCTGAGGCCGGCTCAGCGTCATCTTTTAGAATATTCCGGGCTCTGGCCAGTAATCGCCTAGCCCCAGCTCATTGAGCCTTGACGATGCTCGTAGCAGTCGAATTTGGCGTTGTCTGGGAGTCCTGCCAGAAAGGCGATCCTAGGGATTTGGTCGCTTGCTCCACCGAACGGGTGCGGCCAGCTTCCTCAAATCGCCAGAAAGACATCTACTGTTTCATCCGTCCAAGCCGCTGCTCGCAAACTGCCTCCAGGCGACAAAGGGTCCGCACCAAATGCTGCGATAGAGCTTGTTTTATTTCCTCCAAGTTCAAGGCCATCCCTTAGCTGCTGATACACAGCGTAAGCCTTTGGTGAGTCTAAGAGGATAACCAGTGCGGGATCTTTAATTTTACACAGCCGCAGACCCACTGCCTTTTCCCACCACTCACCACAGACGGGCCAGCGGGGAGCCGTCGAACTCTGGTATTAACTTCAAGTCGAATCTGTCCATGCTGTAATAATTGCCAAATAGCTTGTAGCAAATGAGTCGACTTGAACAGTGTAAGGGACGCAACTCTTTCCGTCTGAAAATGTCTGCAACGCAAAAACGATGTACACCAAGCACGGGTGAAATGTTGGTCTGCCAATGTCTCCAAGCAACCTGCTTTTTATGGAGCCCAGACACACCTCATTAGCATGTGTAACGCGACTTTTGCGGACTGCACGAGACCGTGAATATTAAAAGTCACGGACGCCATTTTGAATCTTTTTCTTTCCTTTCAACCCACAGGCCAGGAAGATGCGAAACGTTTATGTAGGTAGGCCGCTTTCTATTTTCCCCCACACAATATACATGTATATATCTTATATATATATATATATATATATATATATATATATATATATTTTTATATATATATATATATATATATATATATATATATATATATATATATTTACATTTATATATATATACATATATACATTTTATATATATATATATATATATACATTTTATATATATATATAGTAAAATTGTCTAAATGTTCTGCATATCTGAGTGATTTGTAAAATAAAACATTCCTGTAAATCTAGATACATAAAAAAATCCATACATTTAGTTAAAAATAAAAAATTAAAATCATCCTTGATAATGTCTAAAAGAATAGCTGAAAACATTCGGATATGCAGAAATTTTGGACAATTTTTTTACACATGTCTAGAAAAAGGAAACACTTATATGAACGCAAGAAAAATTTAATAAAAAGCTTAATTGCAGTACTTTGTTAGTTGTATTTAATGAAACTTGTATAAAAGAGGGATTGCTGCCCAAATACACAATTTTATATATATATATGGAATTAACACATTAATTCCATCTATATTTTACGCGCCATGAAGTTTCCTCCCTTCCTTTCACACTCGTGCGTGTGCGCCTGTTTGCACCCCTTCCTTCCTCTCACAGCTAGACGTAGCAGTAACCTGGAGGAAGAACTTCGCTAGCTCCTACTGATGAAGTCAGACTTACAGATTTTGAATTTTTTTCCCGCTGCTTTCAAGCGCCTCAAACGGCCAGCGTTTGCAAGCCAGTTGCCTCCCCGACTTTCAACCTAACTAGACGGGCAAACTCATTTATTCCGCGTCCCTTAACCATATGCGGGCGGAATATCTTATTTCAACAATGTCGACCTCACACTTTACCAAGACTTCTTCTCATCTTGACGTTACCCGCAGGTCAACCAGTTGCTTCCCCGATCTTCAACCTGACTAGATCGGTAACTCATTTATTCCGTGCCCTTAACCTATATGCAGGCCGGAATATCTTATCTCAACGATGTTGACCCCACACTTATTTACCAAGATTTCTTCTCATCTTGACGTTACCCGCAGGTCAACCAGTTGCTCCGTTTTCGACCAGAAAATGTTTGAGACACGACACAGTCGCAAGCAGAACTTATCCCTCGTCAATCAAACTTGAAATACAGACAGGGATATCCTACTGACGAACAACTTGCTATCCGCAGGTCAGACCTTCTCCGTTTTCAACCAGAAGACGTTCGAGACACACGACACAGTCGTGGGCAAAATCTTCGTATTCAACAAGTGGCTTATTTTTATCCCTCGTCAGTCAATATTAAACACAGACAGGGATATCTTACTGATGAACAGACATTCTTCGTCCCCTCTGGACTCGCCATAATTAACTTCTCATAGACGATGCAACCAACCGCAACTAGCTCTTCGTCCCTTTGGCTAGACATCCACAGCATTCCATTAAAATTTTCAACGGTTAATTCAAGACCTGACCGAACTCTGAGACCCTACTTTGAACCTGAACACAAAAGAAAAAAAAGAAAAAATACAAAATCACATACACTCTCAACGCCAAAAAAAAAATCCACAGTGAGTACTCCTTTCTATCTGTGCGCACATACACCTCGTGTTTAACGAGTTCCCTTCTTCCAGAACCTTATAAAACCCTTTTCCCGCCTTGTTCATCTTGCATTTCTGTTTAGGCGCGGAACTTTTCCTTGATCTTGTACCACGAGATAATCTACTTGTTTCCATCTAATTAAAGTTACACATGTTTTACAAACAGACGTCTTTGTCATTTTATTCCGGCTATCTCTTTGATGTTTATTAATTTATGTACTCGTTGATTGACCCCTTTCCTCTCACTGTTCATTCACGCATTATTATTTTTTTTTATACATTGCTTGTGGACTCAGTAGTTTAGTGTGGTGTCTGGCACAAGGCCACTTTGTAATAAACCAGCACTGCACGCTGCCGGGTCCGCAACATATACATATATACAGATACACATATAACTGAATGGGTAAATATAGGTAGGTATAATGTTTTTATTTATTACTGAACAATTTCTGAAAAGTTCAATAATGTCTTATAATTCTGATCTTTTAGTTTTAAAAACTTAAAAAAATTTATTTTATAGTCTTTAACTTTGATTTACTACTCAGCCAATGTATTATGCCAATGTCTTATTTTTTCAAACTTAGTCAAATTAGTGTGTATATGTGCTTGTATATTCATTAAATGACACAAACACATGTAAATAAGTCACCATGTAAGACATTATAGCTAAATGCAAGTTAGTCACAGGGTTGCTACAAAAATGTAGTTGACCACTACTTCATTTATGACCTGAAAACTCCTTTTTACAAAGAATAAGACAGTGTTTTATAATTCTAAGCCTTCCTTCCTTGACAACAATTCTAAGCCTTCCTTCCTTGACAACAATTTTAAGCCTTCCTTCCTTGACAACAATTCTACGCCTTCCTTCCTTGACAACAATTCTGGACTGTTTATAACTATTTTTCAGCCTTGCCAATATTCTGCTTGTTTATAATGAATGTTTTCTTTGATTGCAGTTACAATCAGTGGAATATGATTGAACAACTGGGTGCCTGCAATTATTCTAATCCAATGGTAAGAAAAATAAAATATTTAAATATTACTCAACAATTTAAAAGCTTCTTATGCATGAGGTAATACCCAAAAATTTCCCAGAGGAAAATTACACTGCCATCTTGTCTCATCTTCTTCCAAGTGCTGTTCACAAACAATGAATCGTAGCGAATGTTCATAATACGCTATGTTTGCCTTTGAAAAGTTTTGATAGCAGCTTGTAAGAATGTGTTTGTATATAATAGACTTTTCTATCAATTTCAACATGTAGGGTTACAACAGTTTCATTTAGAACTAAATTGCTAGACTATCAACACAGATGATTTGTTTATAGGGGTGAAGGTCTGTGCAGAATCAGCCACACCTTTCTGATAAGAGAAATGGTACAATTCCAAACAACCCACCTTGTGTTTTACCATAGAATTTATCCTCTCTGGAATAATATCAAACCTGAGGAAGAGTATATATACTTAAACATGACCATCCTCAGAAAGGCATAAATTCAGTTTTCCTTCTCCTACACTGGCTGCCATGCAAGGCAAAAGAACCCAGTCTGCCCTGCTATTTAACTTATACCTGGAGGAAAATATTTTGGGCATCAAAATAAATGAAATAAAATCAATTAGAATTTGAACTTTGCTGATTCCACTTTCCGCACCATTAAATATATTTATATTGTGTATGTATGTGTGTGTGTGTGTGTGTATATATATATATATATATATATATATATATATACACACACACACAAAATTGCCCATTTGTTAGATTAAACTTTGAACCGTTGTATCTTAGAAATGATTAAAGATATCTTACTGGAATTCTCTAAGGTTTTATAACACTATTGAATTCTACTTTGAGCAATAAGAATGATCATGATGAAATCGATCATAAACAAAAATGACATGTCCATCATTAATTAATTAATTAATAGCTAATGTCATATGCCCCAGTTGACCAATGTGTTTATAGGGCGATTATGAGCCGACTAAGAGATATATACACTCTCACACCTGTGGAGAGATACAAGCTATCTCTCTCAGATTGTGAGAGTGGACAATTGGTAAACAAAAATATTTTTAAGACCACTGTTCGATTGGGATAATCGAACAGTAATCTTTCCCAGGTCCACTTCGTTTTCAACATGAATACTGATCCACAATGCAAGGATGAACTATAAGGCTTAGCGATTTTTGATACAATACTTTTAATATATACAAATATACATATATCAAAAATAAAAGAACAGATAGTATGAGTTAAAACATCCGACGACCAGATCTCAAACTTACTTTGGGATATCAAATTCGCCTAACACCAAATGGACTCAACTGAACCCGAACATACAAAAATATAAGTATGAATTACTATGAATTGAATGCAGAAGCCAACACACACACAAAAAGGATGGGATAGGAGTTATAATTATTCTTTTACATGTGGAAAGGTGTTTGCAAAAACATAATATTCGTGGATGTATGTATATCTTTCTTCTATGGGTCCAAAATATGATTACTTATCTTTTATATTCAGTTCTTTTACTTCAGTTTTTTTTTTTTTTATATCAATGTCCTTTCTTTTCTTTTCTCGACACAAACACAATTTCACACACTGTCCGGCTGTAACAGAGGTATACACTTTCTTCCTCTCTTTGTTTCGCCTTTTTCTTTTCTTCTGTCGACAGCTCGGATTCCAACCCGACTTACTGCAACAGGGATGTACACTTTCTTCCTCTATTTGGTTTTCTTCTTTCTTTCTTTCGTTCTTCTTCTTTACACAATTCAGCTTATAACAGAGGTATACTTTCTTCCTTTCTCTGGATATCCGTTTTCTTTTCTTTACACAATTCAACTTGGGATTATCGAACAGGAATACTTCTTGTCCGGAGTTGCCTGTATTGAACTGGATAAGTTTCATTACTATCAAATGCGTCTTATCTTTCCGTTCGTAAACTATCAGCGCTTTGGCTACAGGTCTTGCCTCTTCAAAATCAAGATAGCAACTGATCCTCGAAAGTGAATCTCTGACTGTCACGTGTCTTAAATTTTTTTTTTAATTTAACTTAAACCGTCCTCTGTCTAGCTTCTGTCTAGACATTTGTCGCTACAGTTAATTGGGTCAGCCAACCTTCTGACCTGTCTTCCCAAAATGTCATATGACTCACACGTGACCTTTATTCTGTTGCTAGGCGAAATTAACCCTATCATATGCGTATTTAGGCTATCTGCTTTCATCACACATCACACTAAGGATCAGAAGCTCATGAAGGATTGAAATAAAGTTCATATATATATATATATATATATAATTCCAGGGACATTTTCTAACTTATTCAAGATAATCTGCGCCCTCTCTAATCTTCTAACTTTCTGTCCTAGAGAAACAAGGTGCATCACATGTTTCATGTACAATTTCATTTTCAAGTCTTTTTTCACTACACTTGAACTGTCATAGCTGAAACACATGTCTCAAACGTCTTATGGATTGAGTTAGATATTTTCTAATTGATCTCTTTAGCCCCAAGTTGAAATGATGATCCCTCTTCCTGTTGTGACCGCCTGATCCAATTTTCCTCTCTACTGTTCCCTCCTTTTTAAATTTATTCACTGTTCTTTTGATGGCTCTTGAATGGACTTTGAAGATGGAAGCCAGAGTATGTATATTGGTATCATTACTGAAGGCCTGAATAATCTTTTTTCTCTCACTATTGCTCATTTTGAAAAACAGTGGGGCTAACACAAAACAATTTTAACCTATTTCTTTCTAGCTGAATAACTTAAAGGGTTTTTTTAGTGATTCTTCTGACAAATAGTGTCAAGATGGCTAAACGTCTTATCTGAAAACCTGGAAAAAAGAAACCTAATTAGTTTAGTGGTTTTTTAGATATTAAACATTTTGTGGGATGGACACTCATGCTGAAACATGATTTGGACAATTTTACTGTTACACCCAGTATATATATATATATATATATATATATATATATTGTTTTAAGTATGCTATATTTATGGGTTAAAATGTTCAATATTAGGATAGAGTGTATGTAAATATAAACGTAGACATTGAAGTCAACACTCAGTGGCACCAATCTGTTTCAGGCTTAAGTGCATGGTCTGATGATTTCATTTAAGTATGACACAGACTGTTGCTGCTGGGTATTGACTTCAATGTCAATATATATATATATATTTTACAGTTGTTGTGACATCACTTTCTGGGTGCATTTTTCAATTCCTTTAGCCATTGTATGATGCCTGGCTAGCTGGAACTGCTACTGATGGCTAGAGCCATGGGACCAATTGTGGGCAGCTACTACTGGAACAGATACTACACTTTGATCCTCATTATCTCAACTGCGGAATGATTGGGTATTTACCCATGTCTCCCCTACTGAGATGGGATGCAACACAAGGTCAAGCTTAGCATGAGGAACCCGAATGTTTACACTCAGGCCAAGCACAAAAATTATCAGTTGCATTGGTCTCAGTGGCGACCACCAATCTCCCTGTCTAGTGCAATGATAGGGCACAGACTCACGCAGCTGTTCCCAGGGTTGGGCACCCTGCCTGAAGACAGACACACAACTGAGAGATGATAAGCTCTGTTTTTCAATGTTTTTTTTTCTAATGTCTATAAAACAAAATGATTTCAATTAGAGAAATGGAAAGGGGGAAAGAAAATAAAGCAAAAAATATTTTGCTTTCATTTTTCTATTCCCACACTTTTTTTTTTTCAGAAGAAAAAAAACTTTGTCTGAAATTGACAATTTACAGTGAAGATCACAGATAAAGTATAATTGAGTGAGGGAAGGAGGGGAATCATTTTTTTATTGCCCAGGAGATAATCAAACATTAAAGATTACAAATTCACTTATTTTGCAAAGTAACATTCTTTTTTAAGACAAAATTTATGTTTTTACTGACACTTATCTTGATTAAATTTAAATATGTTTATAGTTGCATCCACACATTTCTACAATATTTTGGGTTTTCCCATCTATGTAGAAGATTTAGTTTTATTTAAAATGATATATTCCTTGGGAATGTTATGTCCATTTCAATCCCCAACGTAAGAAAAATACATTAATTGAAATTTGCGTACTTGGCAAATAGCCAGGTTCAAAACCAGGAAAAAGATGTTCTTAGTCTGAAACATTTCTTCTTACTTGACTGTCATGCTAACTGAAATGGAGACAACAAAATTAAGTATATATTATCACAGCCAACTGTAGCAAATATTTATCCACTTGTTAGTTAAAATGTTTGCACTAATAGTTTAAAAAATATATTTTATAATATACTAGCAGTAGAGCCCGGCGTTGCCCGGGGATGTAACAGTAAGAGATAGATCAAGTATCCACCATCAAAAAGACTGAAAAATAAAATTGACAAAGATTATTGTTTAAGGTTGACGGACACGCATGTCTTAATTAGTTATTTTTTTTTTTTTTACGAATTGGTCAAACCCAAACTCAAACAAAAACATTGTTTTCAATCATTATGAGTCTACCGATTGAATAGAATTTTATTATAAACAATTGTCTTGTAAATGGAATTTTTAAAGCATTCTGAATTCTCTATATACATTTTGTTTTTAATGACTCAAAAAAAAAAATAACTATTTCTTTCTTTTCTGTGACAACTGAGTTGATTGTATAAATAAGGTTCTTAGATTACTCTTATAGAGTATATAGAGAAAACTAACACACAAAAAGAAAAAACAAAAGCAACATGTTCTTATAACCTACTAATGAAATTTTTGATTATTGTAACATGAGGCACATTCACTTGAATTTGTATCTGATAATGCTGTAACCATAACAATGGAATATCTCATTACTAAGAAGGAGGGATAAAGCAGCATGATCAATAAATATATAAAGTCTCATTGTGTTTTATATTATAGAAGATTATTTGCCATTTTCTCAAAGAATGGCACAAAGGTCATGATTTTTGTCAAAATGTTATTTTCTGTATTACAGATTCCTATTTGGTTAGAAACCATCTTTAACATGCTGAAGCCATTTACACTCAGGTAAGATATTGTAGTTATTGTATTTGATGGCATATAAAAAGATACCCCACCACACTTCTGACTTACATTGAATATCACACTATTACAGTGTGCGATGGATAAATTGTCGCCTAAATTAACACAAAAATGAAAATAAAACTAACATCACATTTTAGCAGATATATTTACCAAAAGTACACAAAAATATCTTGAAAATACTAAAGAGTAAATTTATTCAATAAAATCGCCATTGGCTTCAACCACAAACTCCAGATAACTTCAGAATTTTCAGCAACTCTTCTGGCCTTTCTCTTTCTTTATGTTGGTTAATGCTACCATAATCCTTGCCTACAGTTCATCTTTGGTGTTATAAGGAGTTTTGTTGGTCTGTCACTCAACTGTGCCCCCACACATAATAATCAATGGGGTTGACGTCTGCGGAGTTAGGCGGCCAAATGTAAGGTTTGATGTGGTTGCTGAAATTGTCTGACAGTCATTATTGGGTTCTCCTGTTTATGAGCCATGATGCAGAGTCCTGTTGCCAGACATAGGGTCTTCCAGCAGCTACCCTCTTTAATCAGGGCAGCACTACCTACTCAAGGCATGTTGAGTCTGAGGCCCTTATCAACAAATTCAGGAGTTCTTTTCTGTGAGTTTTCCAAGCAGCTGTACTTTCATAATTGCCATTAGATTCATCCAACTCTTTCCAAATCCTCTGCACTGTCCTCAGATTGACACCCAAACACTCTGAAATGTTTGTATTGGAGCTTCTGGTCTGAATGCCAAGGAGTACAGCATGCCGTTTCCAAATTTCTGACATAGTGAATTGCATCATCGTGATCTTTTTCTCACCGATGGTGCCCAACTGATCCTACTATATTGTGCAGCTGACAAAATAAAAACAAACAACACACATGTTTAAAATGAAAAATATAAAATGGCGACAATTTACCCATCGCACCCTTTAGAGTAAGTGTGGTATTTTATAGCAGCTGCTTAAAATAAACTACTAAATAACTCAATGTTGCTGATCTGACCCGGGAGATGTTTATGGACTATTTTTTTTTTTTTTTTTATGAAGGTGGTTTTATGTTTTCAGATGTCATACTTTTGCATTTGATCCAGATTATCATATTTATTAGACTTGTATGAAAAAGGGTTCTTTTGTATTTTTGTAAATTTTATATTTAATTATATATGTGATAGTTACAGAAGTTAAACATTCAATAATTACTTGAAGTTTGCATGGTAAAGTTTTTTGATTTATGTTTAATAAATATTCCAGTTTATTGTTTCAATTATTCATTTTTACTTTAGGTGATCATATTGTGTTTGTATAGACCAATAACTCTTCAAAGTCATGAAATGATTTGACATTGTATCAATATTTAGAAACAGGATATACCTCTTCCAATACAATAATAAATCAATCTTTATCAATTCTGTCAAGTGTTGCAGCCTAAGGAACGCTAATCTACAAAAAGTATTTCCCTTCAAAATTTTTCCTATTTTTATAAGTGGACAAGTCTATTTAAATAGTGCATTATTAATCATTTCACCCCAAGTAAGATAATAAAACCACTAAGATGCAAGGGGTTACTGAGTGTGACAGAATATGAGAAAAAAAAGTGATGTAATCTTGGGGCCTAGTAAACGAAAGTGTGTTGAGGTTGTTATTGTTGTTATTGTTTTTTCTTTTCTATATAATTATTATTTATTTATGTATTTTTATTTTATTTATTTATTTCAATTATTAATTATTTTTAAAATAAAATTTAAAATTTATTTATTTAATCAATTTAATTTTACAATATATAAATGTAAATAAATAATGATTACATTAAGAAAATCAACAACAACTCACTTTAGTTTAGTAGGGCAAAAATAAGATAACTTAACATCCACTATAGTTTACCTTTCCTTTACACAGTAAATTTCATAATATTTTAGAATATTTTATAATTAAAAATTCGGAAACATTATTTTATTTTTCTACACATTACTACTGTATATAAATATAGGTTATGAAATGACATTTGTATCTGGCCTTGATAAAGTTCCTCAAGGAACAAAATATGTTGACATGAAAGGTTTTCCTCTTGTCTTTTCTTTTATTCATATTGTCTTTACAAATATATTTATCTTATAACTTATATATATATATATATATATATATATATATATATAAGATAGATATATCTGTAAAATGACAATATGTACAAAAACAAAATGAAAACTCTTTTTGTCTTTATTCATATATGTGTGTGTGCATGTGTGAGTATTTGTACGTGTGTGTGTTTGTACATGTGTATGTGTGTGTTTGTACATATGTGTGTGTGTGTGTGTTTGTACATATGTGTGCATGTGTGTACATATGTATGTGTGTATGTGCGTGTGTGTACATATGTATGTGTGTATGTGTGTGTTTGTACATATGTATGTGTGCATGAGTATTTGTATACGTGTGTGTTTGTACATATGTATGTGTCTGTATTTGTATATGTATTGTGCATTTGTGTATATATGTATGTGTATTTGTACATATATGTGTGTGTGCACTCATGTATTTTTGCATATGTGTGTGTGTGCACTCATGTATTTGTGTATGTGTGTGTGTGCGCATGTGCATATATATATATATATATATATATATATATATATATATATATACATAAATATGTGTCTGTGCATATGTGTATATATACAGCCTATCTGAAGTTATTATACAAATCAAATAAACCTCACTAACTCAAAACTTTTGAACCAATACATGTCAAATTTAAATTTGTACATTTCATCCTTAGTAAAATATTTAATTAAATTTTCTGCTATTTTTAATGGTTAGTTTTTGAGATATTTTGAATTTATGAAAATGGACTGACGGTAGTTAAAATACAGATTAAACTAATATTAGCTTAAGACCTCTGAAATCTAATAAAAACTATTTTTTCTTTTTATCCATAATGTATATTGAAACATGGGTTAAATGAAGAATCTAACAACTAGTGAAAAACAGAAAATAAAAAAGTTATTGCGTGAGGAAATGTCCACATTACAGATATCAAAGCAGCTTTGAAGAGATCATCAAATGATAAAGAAGGCTGTTGAAAATATAAGTTGAGAACTTAAAGTAAAGGAAAAGGTTTTAAGAACTTACTTCCTTGAGATGAATGTAAACTAAAGTGAGTTATAGCGAAACAACCACTTTTGACCAGTACTCAGATCTTTGAAAAGGCTGGAATTGAGGGAGTCTAGAAGAACAAAAGGTGTAGAATACTTTGTGAATTGAGATCTGTAAAAAGATCACCTAGGCAAACTCCTCTCACTAAGCAAATATTTTAAAGCATCAAAATAGGGCCAAGAAATACATAAAAATTGACTTTCCTAAAGTAATTTTCACAGATAAATCTCAAGTAACATTTGATGAACCTGATGGATGGGTGAAAGGATAGATTTTATCCAATTCAGATGTGATGTACCTGTGACTAAAAAAAAGCAACAAAGGCTGTAGTGTTATGATATAGGCTGGAATTGTTGACCAAACTATTATTGGCCATTCAAAATCTATGAAGGAGTTAAACTGAACAGTGCTAACTATTGCGAGTTTATGAACAAGACTTTCTTTGTATGGTATAAGTCCCAGTCTTGCAGTTTCAAAGTGAAGTGTGTATTCATGAATGATAATGCTCCTTCTCATGTATCTAAACCCATGAATTATTTGAGCATAAAAGATTTACAGGAGAGAAGGTAATAGAATAACCACCATCAAGTTCTGATCTGAATCCTTTTGAAAATCTATGGTCAATTGTGAAGAAAAAATTATATAAAGGTGAAAAACAATATAACAACAAAGCAGCCATAAGGGAAGCAATTAAAGCTACAATATCAGAAAGTGAACCTATGTATGATAGATACCTGGCTGTTATTTAAAATAAGGATCACTATATTAAAAGGTAAAGGATTCAAAGACTTATATGTGTTTGTTATTAGTTCTATTATAGATGTTGATCAATTTTTGATGATTTTATTACCTTTTTTTATTGAAGCAAAATATGATTATTTGGTTTTGTTTAATAACTTCAGACAGCAGTTTTTTAGAATATAACAAATAACTTCAATAAAACATCAATACTATCTAAAATTTTAACTCTGGCTTTATTTTGACATCTAAATTGATTGTTTAAAATTTGACAATTTTGTTTTCAAGCCAAATTTAAATTATTGAAGTTAATATGATTTGCTTAATAACTTTAGACAGGGTGTATATATGTACACACACACACACACACACACACACACACTGTATTTAGGCAGCAATCCTTCTTTCATGCACATTTCATTGAATATGACAGACAAGGTGCCTTTATTTAGTTTTTTTTTATATAATTTCTCATGCAATCTAATAATATTTACTTTTCAGAGGATAAATTATATAAAGACTGTCCGAATGTTCTTTTTATTCAAGCACTTTCGGCTATACATTTAATCATTTTCAAGAATTAAATATTTTAACTGTTAAATAAGAAATAGTTTGTTGCATGTATGTTTTATAAAATGTTTTCATTTTTCAAAACATGGTCAAGATATTGTATCCATGTTCAAAGTTAATATTATTAAGTGTTGATTTTTTGTTTTTATTAATAAAGCTTCCATTATTTTTAGCCTTTTTTTGCATGTAGATGATGCTATTATATTATTATTATTGTCAACAAGTATGTTACGAATAGTGTCTGGTAGGTCTCCATGAATATTTAAATGAGATCTAATTGAGCTATGGTCAGAAAAATGTAGAATGAGTCTGCGTGGCAAAGATGTTGTAGTATGGCCTATATAATTATTTAGGAATTTTGATTAATCAGGAATACAATTCCTTAATGGGCATTTAAATTCGTAGATAATATTTGCCCTATTTAATTTTGTTCTAAGAGGTGAATTATTACTTTTAACTATAAGGTTAGAAGTTTTAACAAACTATTTCTTATTTAACAGTTAAAATATTAAAATCAGCATGAACTTTCCAGACAACCCACTATATATATATATATATATATATATATATATATATATATATATATATATTATATTTCAAACTAATCACAACACATTATAATGTGTTGATTCTAGACATATGGCTCTGTTGTTAATATTTCATAGAATGACATCATGAATTTACAAACTAGGTCTGCTATTCTATGAATGTTATCGTCACATAGCAATCTTCTATGTCAGCATAACAGAATATCATTGGTGAATATCTTTGTTTAAATGTCTGTATAATCACTCTGAAGATGACACATGTGAGCTGAAAGATTAGATCAAGGAACAGCATAAAAAAAAAATCTCCAAATGTTGGACAATTTTTGTCTTTCTTCTCTCTTGAAATTAAAGCAACTATATGAAGTTAAGAATGGCTCATGATCAAACATAACAGATTTTCATTGTCTGTTATATTTAACAATATACTTTTGAATATATATATATATATATATATATATATATATACTTTTAAAATCAGGAGGTCAGTTGAATCCATGACTTTTAAAGTTAAAAGTTCTACATACATACATATATATATATATATATATATATATATATATATATATATATATATAATTATTCAATCATTTAATTAATATTGCTTAATTAATAAATCTTTCTTATAAATAATTCTAGTAATTTTATTTTTCCAGAGTGTTGAAGCCTGTACTAAAGAAATTATTGAATCATCCAAACAGTACCAGGGAGATAGAATCTGTGATGTCCGTTATATCTGACCTTCCTTGTGGTTGTGTTCCCCAAAGTATTGCTGCCTTCCGAACCAAGAGACAACAAGGTGAGTCATAAACCAGGAGACTAGACTGAGTTTTTCATTGCCAATTCTTAATTATAAACAATGAAGACAATAGTCTGAATGCAAATAGTGTAAATAAAATAAAAATGAACAGTTTCAAATCTGAAAAGGGTTTTCCCAACAATCAGCACCAAATGTCTCACTTTGTGACACTGAAAAATGTTAGTCTTAAAAACCTGTAGCCTCAGGTTGGCTTCCACTTTTGTCACTAAGTGGCCATCATGTAACCCACATGATTTAATTTCCCCCAAAGGAGATAATCGTCTTTTTGTATCCATATATATATTATATATATATATATATATATATATATATATATATAAATATATATATATGAAAAAGCAACAGCAGTTAGTATACCACATAACACCATTGAGCACTTAGCCTTGGAGCAGGTAGAATGGAGATCAATGTGTTTTAGTGGACTCAGCAATTTTCAATCTGCTTGTCTGAATCATCTTCAAGGAGCGAGAGCAAGATCTAAAAGGTCAGCCAATCTAACAGTGATCTCATCTCACAATCCTCACACTTGCTCTATATGTGGCCTCCTTTGTAAATTACTAGCGGGTCTTAAATGCCACTTAAAATTATCGCACAAAATTTCATAACTGAATCAATAAGCCGTCAGATCCTCATACGTCGAAACCGACGAGAGAGTCCATTATATATAATATATATATATATATAATCCATAGACAGATTGTTTCACAGATCCTCAATGTGACTAGATGTTTAGTTACTTCAAGCCAGGATCAAAACCTGACTGATTTGACATCAGTCAAATATCTTACCTCTAGACCATCGTCAGAAAGGAAGGGAATTTTAATGTTTTTCTCAATACAAAATAAGCCAGCAGCTTGGAGACCTCAATTCAATTTACTTGAAGTGTATTGCTTAATAGCAGTGGGAGCTGCTGTTTTTTAAAAACCCCTTTCTCTAGAGAGCTCAACCGGATTTCCAGGAGCACATATATATGTCACATTTGGTGTAATGAATGGCGGCTCAGAATGAGGAATGAAAGATTATTCAGAATTCAATTCTTGCCTACACCAGAGTTGAGGTCTTTTTTTTTTGTTGTTGATCTGGTTCATTTCTATAGATTGAAGAAGTACATTTTATATGTAATAATTAAAACCTATTAAATTTATTTTTATTTTCTCTTGATTATTTAAATTAATTTTTAATTTTTTCTCTTTTATTTTGAAGGCTGTGCTCGAGATCAAGTTGAGTCTTCTGTGCTCGAGTTAATCAGACAAGTATCAGAACATGTCTATACGCTCCCAACATCGTTATGTTCTATGTTCAGAATTCTACAAGATGCTGCCAAAGAGAAATCTATTCAGTTTGCCCATGATTGTCTTGGGTTGCAGGTAATTGCCATAATTCCTTATTCTTTTCCTTCCCAGTCCCTGAATATGATGATAAACTACATCTGGCAGCAAGGCCTCTGATTTGGAGGTTTTGAGGAGTGTAGAACCACCTCTTAATTCTTGTTGTTCTCAGATTTCCCCTGATCGGAGTGGTAGCAATTGTTAGGGTCCTAGCTATGGGCAAATAGTTAACCTCCAAACTGCAATCAAAACACTATGTTAGTTTAAAAATACATTTTTTAAAGTAAGAATATTTTTGTAAAAAAAAAAAATAAATAAATATATATATATATATTGACATTTTTATGTTTATACATTCTTTTTATAGATACAAATATTTAAGTAAATGCTCTGTTTTATAATAAACAGTATTAATAAAATTTACTGGCTTGAATGTCCAAGAACTTTTATAGAAAATATTCATTCTCTGACAGGAATCAAACCTGTATCCTATACGGAACCGTCATTTAGCCAGATGTGCCTTAACTGATCAAGTCACAAAGAATCGTTTGATTGGCAAAGTTGATTTTACTGCTTTCATTGAAGATTGAAATTTAAAAGCAGTAAAATCGATCTTGCCAATTGAACGATTCTCTGTGGCTTGATCAGTTAAGGCACATTTGGCTAAATGACGGTTCCATTTCATAATATATATATATATATATATATTACCAGCAATAGATTTAAAAAAAAAAAAAAATACCAGCAATATATTTTTATAAAAGAAATTACTAATGCTCCCAAGAAAATTAAATTTCAGCATTAAATGACCCATAAGGAGTTGATATGCCGCTAAACAAACAATTTCTCCTTCTCTTCACATCTTCATCCTTATCTAGGTTATGTTCTGTGTTCAAATTTCAGGATGTCCACTGGTCCTGGAAATCATGGAAAAGTCATTGAATTTTCTTCTCTTGAATTTGTCCTGAATTTTTAGTAATATCTTGGTATTCTCTTGGAATTTGTCAGCTTGTATAACATTTCATGCTATGTAATTCCTGAATTGATGCAGCGGGAATCTTAATAAGATGTGATCTTGATATAAAATAAAATCAAAAACTGAAGATACCAAAATCAAACAAGTACAACAATCTAAATATCTGGACAGTGTTTCAACAGAATATGAAAAATGCAACACTGAAATCCGAAGCTGCATTGGGATAGCAAAAGTTACCTCCTAAAAGCTAAGCAAAGTATTAAGAAATAGAAAAATTTTGTTAGACACTGTGAGAATTAAACGAAAATTGGGTGGTAGAAAAAATAAATTTCCATTCAAATCTGTTCCTGCTGACAGCTAATGTGGAAACTGAAACAACGCTTCGTTCGGGACTCTGTTTCCTGAACACCGTAAACAGCAGTATTATTGCTCTCTCTCTGGAACATGGGTATAACCTTCACTAGTCTTAAAGAATAAACTGCCGTGAAACAAAAAGTCAGCTCTTTTTATCCTTCCTTGATCTCAGGCAAGAAACTGTGATCTCTTGCTTGCGTTAGCCTGGTTCTTGCTGATAACGCATGCACTGTGTCACTTCAATATTGATTTACCAAAGTTTGCCTTACATGTCTATGATATCTACAAGCACATGTACTGACAATTAGCCTTCTCATGTGTCTCCACCACAGATACAAATAAACAAGTACTGACTATTACATGATATATTCTATATGGCAGTGAATGCTGAACAATCTCCTCACAGATGAAGAAGAGACTTGAAGCAACAGAAATGTGGTTGAACAGAAAGATGCTGAGAATACCATGGACTGAACATGTGAGCAACAACTTGGTTCTAGAGACAATGGAAACAAAAAGGATACTTCTACTTCACATCAGAAAGAGACAAGTTGAAATTTCTAGGGTACATAATGAGGAAAGAGGGCTTGGAAAATTTGTTGCTCACAGAGAAAATTGAAGGTGGGAGGGACAGAGGAAACCAAAGCACAACCCCTATCTAGCAAGCTCGATGGTAGAACAAGGTTTAGGAGAGATTATAATAATACAAAATTTATAAGAGCTACAAAGGACAAGAAATTGTGGAGAGCCATGATCGTCTACATCCTGAACAGACAGAACACATAGAAGAAGAATGTAAATTTTAAGAATTCAAATTCTTCATTTCTTTCTTATTTTGGAGTTCACTATCTTGTGATGCTTGTTCATAATTTTGTTTCTTTTTTGTTTTCAAGTATCTGGTAAGCAAGAAACATATCTTCACCAATTGATATTGTATTCTTTTCTGTAAGATAGTTGATAGAATGTCAAAAATAAGAGTCTGTTCATATATGTGGGAGAAGTATATAATGATAATAATGGTCATATTGACCACTTTAGTTATTGGCTGACGAAAGGCACCCATCCTCATTCAACTTATTTCAAATTATGCAACAGTACTATAGATTTAGCAAATATGAAGAGATACATTTTATTTAGTCATATGCAAGGGGTTAAAAAAAAAGCCTATTTTGATGTTGCTTTCATTTGGGTTGTTTTTCTGTCAATCTGTTTGATCTTGGTTTTATGAAACATTATCTCTGATTTGAAATCAAAACCCACAATCTTCAGGCAAAATTTTGTCAAATCCTGGGAGTCCTGACCAAATTGTTGAAAAATCTGAATATGTGATGTTAGTGCAAATTAAATTGATATCTCTCAAAACAAACAAATGTTAAAAAATGAAGTATTTCAAGTTGATTTTATATGAAAGTTATTTTTTTTTTTTGTACAATGATATTTATCCAGTACAGGGTCCAGGTACCACTTGGATGTAAAGGATTACAAAGAGGCACAGTTTATGGGAAGATGTGGGGAAGATAGCAACTAACCCTAGACTTGAACAGATTAAGATTGTAGCAATTAGAGAAGCATCTTCTTAGGAGTCAGTTCCACAAAGCAGTGATTTGTCTATAGAAGCTATTCAAGTGGAAATGACATCTCACCAATGTAATGCAAAGGGAATGAGGGTGGTTCACTACAATATGTGTGGCATGGCGAGTCTTAACTCTGAGCTCTGTGATGTTTTGTCTATAGAAAAGAGGTTGTAGTGTGGAAAATAATCCATTACCCACAAGGATGTGGAGACACTTTTGGACTCTGGAATTGAAGACTCAGCAGCAGTACTTTATAAGTAAATTGATTTCTCTTTCAAATGCGACCAAATTTAGCCTCCTTGTTATTACCAGGTTATAAGACATGGTTTTGGAAATTTACAACTTTTACAAAAGTTGTTGATTTCTGACTTCTCTAGTTCGTATCTCTTTTGATGCTGACTAGTAAATCCATTATCATTGTCTTTTATTGCTTCTGGTCAAATGGTGCTTGCAAGAAATACTTACATACTTATGTACACATTAACAAAGACTCTTCTCTCTACACGCTCACACACACACATTCATATATATAATTTAAAACATTTTTATGTTTATACATTCTTTTTTATAGATACAAATATTTAAGTAAATGCTCTGTTTATAATAAACAGTATTAACAACATTTACAGAATGTTCATAATGTGTGACATATATATATATATATATATGCTAAGGACTTAAAGACTTTCAACACAAGAACTTTCTAATGAGAACTTATGAACTCTTTTGAATATTATTGTATATTTTATTTTGAGAGATATAAATTTTTATCAGTACATGCAATATATATCTTTGTATTAATTATCTTTTCAAACATTTTTAAAAGGCCATAAATTAGTGTCTATTTGGATTAAGGACATTATCCGAAGATAACCACCTGTAAACAAGTAAACCCCCACTTTAGTGACTTCCACATCTGCACACTAACAAACAACCATATTAGTTCACCAACTTCTACATATCCACTTATGCGCAAATATCCTTGGGAAAGTCATGAATCCACCTTTTCTTCTTCCAGCTATGGATTATTTAGGTAGGACTTGTATCTGTAAGGAGGCACGGTGGAGTAATGGATAGTGACATGGATTGAGGAATTTGAGAGCTGTGTTCGAATTCCAGTTGAATCCATTACATTCACTTCCGTGCTAATACACTTGGGAAAGATATGAATCCTCTTCTTCTCCTCCCAGCTATAGGTAAATAGCAGGACAGATTGGGTTCTATAGCTTTGGATGGCAACTAGTCTATTGCAGAAAGAAATGGTAACCTACTGCAGGAAAAAAATCTGCCTTGTCAATCATCTATAGAAAGATACATGATTGCCTAAGTATGTATCATGCATGGCACATAACTGAACTGTATCCGTAAATCATTATTTCCAAAAAATCTAAAAATATTTTCTGGCTTTTAATAACCTGTAAAGGTTGATAAGTCATAAAAAACAACCAGTCAATCAATCAGTTCATTTCTCTCTGAATTTCTAGAACAAGAACTTATCATTATTTACATTTGGACTAATGTCCTCATCTTTTTTATTATCACAACATTTCAGTCATTGTGCTCTCCAAGGTTCTTTGGGTATCTGTCGATCCAGGTTACCCTCAGGGAATTTTGAATTGAACCCTTTATTTAATCCATAGTTGTAGATTGTTCTCATTCTGTTGTCCAATTCTAGGAATATCGGTACTTGTCCTGAGCAGTACTAAACAGAACAAGACAGAATATCTCTAGACATGTGCAGTGGTATGAGAACAATCTACCTCTGTAGATTAAATAAAGGGTTACCTAGATTGACATACATTTGAAGAAGATTGGAAGGCACAAAAGCTGAAATGTGATAATAAAAAAAAAATGATGAGGACATTAGCCTGAATGTAAATAAAATTTATTCAATAAGATTTGTGGGAAGAATTAAAAGCAATTCTCAAGCATTTTATTATTTTCTCTTTTAGGTGATTGCTTTATGCCTGAAGACTCAACTCTGGGCAGGGATGTCTGTGGAAAAGATGGCTGGCACATCTTTCAGTCCAGAAACCAAAGACACACTCAGTATCCTTGCAGAGAGCATCTATACAACACTTGTTCATTCAGGTAAGCTATGTATATTTTTCTTTTCAAATAAGACACTTGTACTTTGTACCACCATCTGTTGTTGATACTAGCAATATTTGTTGAAGAAAGGCATATTAGATTGCCTTTTTTGAAAGAAAGGTTTGTTTGCAGATATGCCAATCACTTTGGAATTATTTTATCGCAGATCAATGGTTAAAAATGGCTTAGAGTAAATGAAGTCTGTGGCTCTTAGCGAGCACCATTCTTCTTTGAAATATGTGAACTGGCGCTACAGAATCACAAATACAGAACTGTACCAAATAACAGAAACTACATCACCAACAACAGCTAAAATGGATATCACATGTAAGAGAGAATAATGATATAATCAAGATGATGATATTCTGCACTACTTTGGATGTGTGGGTGGTGTAATGGATAATGACTTGGGATTAGAAATACCCTTAGGGGCAGTTATGAATCTCTCTATGGGTAAACTAGTAGGAGTTGTGTCTGGAAAAATCATTGCTTTTCTTAAAAATTTCTTAATGCAATATTCACTCACTTAAAATATTATTCTACAATCCAAAACATATTCCATCTTTAAATAACACACTAAGGGTTGGTAAACCAAAAAAAATCAACACTACTTCAAACAAAAGTTTAAGGAAGCTCCTGTCAATATTGCAAAGAACAATAGCATTAACTATAGAATTTTTCTGAAAAATTGTTTGAAGAGGAATATTTGATTAAATTCAAGCAAAAGTAGCATTGTCAGCTTGGACAATGAGTGCAAAATGTTTCCTTATAAAGAAACAGATAATAAAATTACTAACAAATGGTAATATTATGTGTATATGGTAAATATATATATATATATATATATATATATATCAGATCATCCCATAAGTTCTGTCTGAATTTCGAATAAAGAAAACAAGTGACCAAATGTTACATTTAATTACAGATTCAATCAACAATGTATTTTCCCTGATTATCTATGACTAACTTCCATCTATTAACAAGCTTACTAATTCCATTACTGTAAAATTCTTTTGGCTTTGATTCGAAGAACTCACAAATGTCAGTTTTAACCTCTTCCTGTGTTACAAAAGCTGTTTCTTCCAAATGATTCTGTAAGCTACAAAACAAATGACAGTCTGAAGGAGCAAGATCAGGAGAATAAGGTGGATGAGGAATTTTCTCCCAACCAAGTTCTTCGATCTTTTGTGACGTGATTCTTGCTGTGTGGGGTTGCGCATTGTCCTGATGAAACATCACCTCTTTTCGATTCACTAGAGCAGGTCTTTTTTCCTCAAAGCTTGGTTCAAACGCTCTAATTACTGACAGTATATTTGAGCATTAATTGTTGCATTAGGTGGTAAGAATTCAAAGTGGATTATTCCTTGGTGGTCCCACCAGATCGAAAGAAGAACCTTTTGCCCATGAAGTTCCCTTCTCGGCTGTGGCTGGGGTCCTTCACCTTTACCAAGCCACTGTCTACGATGCTTAACATTTCGATAAAAGATCCATTTATCATCGCCAGTCACAAGTCTATCTAAAAAAGGTGAAACAAGTTGGCGAGAATGGAGAGAAGAGCAGATGTCAACTCGCGATTTGAGGTTGTTTTCAGACAATTTATGAGGCACCCATTTTCCAAGTTTAGGAACTTTTCCAAGTTGTTGAAGATGACGATGAACAGTTGTATGGTTTGAACTGAGAACCACTGCCAATTCCTCAACTGATAAAACAGGATTTTCTTCAAGGGCTGCTTCAAGAAGCTTTTCATCAAACTCAACTGGACGTCCGGTTCAATCTTCATCTTCAAGGGTGAAATCTCCACCTCTGAATTTTGCAAACGATCTTCTGCAAATTCTTTCATTCACACATTCCTCTCCATAAACTGAGTGAATGTTTCTAGCCGCTTTGGCTGCTGAGTTTCCTTTCTTGAACTCATAAAGCATTATGTGCCTCAAATGATTCTTGGGTACTACCATGTTAGCAGGGTTTTAATCAAACAAAATTTAATTTTATTGTTCTCTGAAATAAAATTTGATCAGTTTAAATGCATCTAAACATAAAAATAATGTTCAGCTCCATTAGACATTATAAAATACTCTTTAAATTTCATTCATTTTAAAAAAAAGGTAAAATTCAGGCAGAACTTATGGGATGACCTGATATATATATATATATATATATATATATATATAGTGGTAAATATACACATATATATGTATGTATGTATGTGTATATATGTATGTGTAATTATTTGTATATTATATAAAATGCGCGGTACTTATTAGAAAGCACTCAGTATCAGAGATAGAGCTAACATATTGAACCAGATATATGTATGTATATGTATATATATGTATATGCGTGTGTATGTATGTGTATGTGTGTATTTGTGTAGATATGTGTATGTATATACGTGTATATGTTATTGTGTATGTGTGTATTCGCATGTGTTTTTGAACATAAAAATATAGGTCCTTGCTAGATTAGATAATCATTATATTTATTATTTTTTATTTGTTTTGTAACCTGTAGTCGATATTAATTTTGTCAAATTTTCTTAATTACACAGCAGCCCTTTCAGTAAATGTTTAGTTTCCCCCGCCCTATCTCTCTCCCCCACCCCTTCTTCTTTCCTTTCCCCTCCCTCCCTCTTATTCTGATATTTAACATTAGATCGTCTATGGCGTGTGCATGTCACCACGAAATGTATCTTTAATGTATTAGACATCCGACAACATTCATATTTCCCCCTTCCACTCACCTCTCCTAAACTTCTCTGTTTAATCTCCCACCTCTCGTCTGTTACCCCTCTCTTTAGCTCTAACATTTGTCCCACACTCTCATACTTACACTCTCTCTAAATTCTATTTTTATTTTCAGAGTTTTTTTTTTCTGTTTTCTTTTTGAATTTGTATGTCTGATGAATTGGATTGTATTTACGATTCCAATGGAATAAATTATGACCATAGAGTATTAGTGTTTAAATAAAAATTTACAAAATTGTCACACACACATATATATATATATATATATATATATATATATATATATATATATATATATATAAAAAAAGGCTTAAACTACTGTCCCTATTCCCTATTGTATAATAAAACAAGAAAAAAAAACATCTTTCACTGATGATGTCTATGAAGTGATGTTGGGGTCTGATGGACTAAAGCCAGTGATGACACAGAGCACAACAATATTTCTAACTTAAAATATTTCTTAAAAATATGTTGAAACTTATTAAACTTCAAAACCACTTGACTAATGCAATTGTGATTCACTGATTTAGTCTTCATTCTTTCTTTCTCTTGTAGAAATCGAACTTGGTACCATAGAAGTTGGTAATTTATTGCAGACTAAGCACAATGATTGGATCAACAAGAAAATCCGAAGCATTGTCACATTCTTTAATTCTGAGTAAGTTATTTTTTGTTTCCTTCCAATAGTAATCGCTAAAATATACTGTTTTTTGTTGTTTTTTTTTTTTAATTATTAATGGTTCAATGAATAATAGATGTAATGACAAAAGTACACTGGTGTAGGCTTTAAGAAAGCTTTATTCAACTAAGAATACAAGGTTCACTTATAGTGTCCTTTTATAGTACCAGTAAACAGAAATAGCTCTCTCAAAGAGCAGTAACAAAACAAGAGGAGAACACTCTTGATTATTCATAACAATAGAATTTTCAGTACTTAGCACAAAAATTTTAAAATAAAATCAAATATCTTGTTTCTTTTTCAAATTTATCCTAAATCTTTTTATGCTAGATTTAATTACTAATTATTCTAAATTCATCTTAAATTGTTTTTTATTTGTCTAAACTTTTTATCTTAATTACAAATTTATCTTAATTTTTATTATTTTATGACAAAGTTTAACAAACATGCTCATAAAAAGCAGTGCGTCGAAGGATGATTTTTCTCTTGACACTGCTATTACTCTATACTTTCATGTTAATTTTAATTGGTTTTTATTATTATTAAATTTTAATTGGTTTTTTTAAAATTATTAAATTTTAATTGGTTTTATTAAAATTTTGAATTAGCTTTTTAAAAAGCTATTTTTAGAATTTTAAATAAACTAAAACAAAACATAAAACTGAATTTTTACATTTTTTTTCTCCAGAATGAACAGAAAAACATTAAATACTATTTTAATAGATTGTTTATGTACAAGAATAATTTTATATTAAAAGATTCTAAAAATATGTGAAACAATATTTATTATTTACCATATTATAAAGAAATAATTTACCGTATTATAAAGAAATAATTATGAAAATCAATTTTTTTATTTATAAAAGTGTCTGCGCAAAAGTTTATATAAAACTTTTGTGCACTAATGGGTATGTCCCAATCCTCATAAATATGTTGGACACTATTGTAAGTGGGGGTAATATGATGTCTATGTAGTCTACCACTAGCAGTGGTTTACCTACTTCAAGCCGCTGGCGAGTATTGTATTTTGTTGATGTTATAAAGATTACCATTTCATTTCCAACCTCCGTTTTGGTTATTCCTCATTCAGTAACCTTTTCTAGGTTACAACAAAAAGAGAGTGAGAAAATTTAAATAAACACATAATGATGAATAGCTGTTGTTGTAACCTAGGGGAGGTTACTGAATAGAATAATCATACAAAGTTTGGTAATGAATGTTAATACTTAGGACAGGAACAACACATAAGATTCGCCAGCATAGAAGAAATAGTCAGCTGCTAGAAGTGAGTCAAGTGAATTCCACAATGAATCTCCAACTGCAGACCAACATACAGTATTTACTACCATATTTATGTGAATGGGGACATACTCGTTATCATACGTAGGTATGATACAACAACTGTAATTTTAAATTTTGAAAAAATGCATTTACCAGGCATTTCTTTCATTTTCTCTTACCACATAAATTCATTAAAACAGTTTGAGAGCATTTGAATTCATACATTCTGTTTTCTCAAGAACCGACAACACAAATGTTAAATGTTCTTTATTTATTAGATTGTTTATTTACAAAAATGATTTGACAAAATATAACAAACATACCTGCAAATAGAGGGACTATATAGTAATAGCAGTGTCAAAAGAAAAAAAAACATTCTTTTGACACATTTTTTTTTTTTTTTTGCAGGTATATTTGTTAAACTTTGTCTATTTTATATACGTATCTTAAATTTTATTTTATTTATTTTAACCTGTTAATGTCCACTGAAAAATATGGTATGAATTATAAACATAAAAGTTTGGTGTTAATTTTGGATTTCTAAAAAAAATCCAATATTATAAAAAGAAAGAAAGAATTATTAAAACAAAAGAGTGAATAAGACTAAGAAAAAGAAAGAAATGAGAAAGTTAAAAAAATGAGAGTAATAAATGAAAGTGAGAGAGATATAAATAAACTAAACAGAATAAGGTTGAGAGAGGCTTTGAAAAAAGAAAAGATGGAGGAAACAGTACAACAAAAAAAGAAAAAGAATGTAAAAGAAAATGAATAAGAAACAAATAAAAAGTTAAGGAAGGAAAAAAGAAAAAGAAAAAGAATAAGTAAAATTTAATTCCAAAGACAAAATTTCAATTATTTAAAATACTTTTCTGTTTTGTTTTGTTTTTTTTTTTTTTTTTTTTTGTTTTTTTAGAAAATCCGTGTGTTTTTTTTTTTTGTATATCGGCACTTCTGATTTAGTAAATGGAATTGTATAATCTTCATCATTTCTCTGATATTGTGCTGTAAGTTACTAAGGTTAAAAAAATGAGGAAAAACTTAAACATGAAGAAAGTGCGAAAGAAAGAAAAAGAAAGAAAAAATTATTAAAACCAAAAAGTGAAGACTAAGAAGAAATTGAAAAAGAAAGAAAAGAGAAAGTTAAAAAATGAGAGTAGTAAATGAAAGTGAGAGAGATATAAATAAACTAAACAGAATAAGGTTGAGAGAGGCTTTGAAAAAGAGAAAGATGGAGGAAACAGTACAACAAAAAAAGAAAGAAAAAATAAATAAAAAAGTTAAGGAAGGAAAAAAAGAAAAGAAAGAAAAAATTATATTCTTAATCTATTGGTGATATTGGATTATAATAATTTTACAGACAAAACAAAAATAAAGGCATCATTTACCAATGAATAATTACAAAAGAACTCAAAGCAAACATAACATTATCAATTCAATAAATCTACCAATTTTGTTCCTTTTTTTTTTTTTTGCATTTTCTTTTCTGAACTGTCAGTGTTCACTGTCACAAAAATGTGACAGTAAATATTGATGGGTTAAATTTATTTTAAATCTTCTTTTTTATCTTAATTACTAACTTATCTTAAATCATTATCTACTTCAAAATTTATTTTTAAATCTTATCATTTTATCACTAACTAGCAGTAGAGCCCGGCATTGCCCGGGGATATAACAGTAAGAGATAGATCAAGTATCCACCATCATAAAGACTGAAAAATAAAATTGACAAAGATTATTGTTTAAGGTTGAGGAACACGCATGTCTTAATTAGTTTTTATTTTTTTTATTTTTTACGAATTGGTCAAACCCAAACTCAAACAAAAACATTGTTTTCAATCGTTATGAGTCTACCGATTGAATTTTATTATAAATAATTGTCTTGTAAATGGAATTTTTAAAGCATTCTGAATATAAAAATAAAGAAAAAAGTGTGCAAGACAATAAGAAACACTACATGCCAAAAAAAAAAAAAGTGAAGTTTTGTTTTATCGGCTGAAAAATATAGGAAATCCGATGTGAGTTGTCCCCCTTCCATTTTCACGATGTCTTTTAATCGTGTTTTCAAATTGATTTTGTGCATAAACAATTATATTTTCCCATTTTTTGGCGCTGTTAGAACCACCACAAGGTAATTTTATGTAGTCCTGTGAAGTTTTGTTGAAATTGGTTGAAAAATGTAGGAAATCCGATCCAATATATAAATGTTACAGACACACACACACACACACACACACACACACAATCTGCGTTTTATAATAAGATTTTACTCCATCTTGTTATCTTCAAAATAGGTTGATATAATCTTTATTATCATTGTTAATTTTATCATGTTATTGATATTTCATTGGCTTTTGTATAAGCCAATCAATACAATGTCATTTTGTTACTCTTCAGTTTAGACATTTAAAACCATTTAATTGAATGTTCTGATATATCATTAGGTTTTAAATGTATCATTTTCTTTTATTATTTCTAGGAGTTGCTTCCCTCCTCCCCGTCATTTGCCTGAAAATACAATCCCTGATTTTGCTGAGCAGTTTTATATTTCAACCTGTAATGAAGTTCTTGAAGGCCCATTAGGTAATTATTTTCTTTGCTATATAGATTGATATTAAATGAATAAAAGTGAATGGGAACTTAAGCATCTACAGTACTTCTTCCATTATCATGTTAATGTTGGGCCATGCTGATCAACTCTGTAAGTCAAAGTAAATGACAAAGCAAAACGTATTGTGCACTTATCTATAGCAACCCATGGCAGAACTAACTCTGATTGTTAGTAGCTGCAGGCTCTATGCTTTATTGAATACTAACCTAAAAACTACACTTTGGGTGCACTTTAGGCTAGCTCCTGCAGAGGGATTTTCAGCATTCGGCCTTTTACTTAAAGCATTCTATGTACATAAAAGTTATAAGAATTTAGAAAGAATAAAATTATTTAATCTTTATTCAACACCTTAATTCAGCATAATCTTTCTTCTTATACCCAAGCAATCTCCGTAGTTTGTTTACATTTATTTTGTATGCACTTTTTATTTTCATTTAAAATCACTATTCTTTATGATCCTTTCACATAGTTACCTTTAAAAGACATTAGGGAATCTGAACTATGAAATATTTTGAATATGTCACAATAAGCATGCTAGGAAAAGGGAAAAAAATAACATGAGCAGTATACCATGCAGGTTAATTAGATATCAATTGCAACGAAAAGTGAAATTAAAGTTAAACCTTTAATAAAGAATTGTTTTTTAAACCTTTCACTCTGTTTGATATTTAAATTTAACTTTAAATGAGTTATTTAATTAATTTTTAATTGTGTATAACTAATTGTTTATTAGTGTTTTCATGCTCATCATTTTACTTAATTCTTTTTTCACCACAAAATCTTGGACTAAAATGAAAGATATTTACTATCCTTTGGTGTTAATGAATTCAGCTTTGAAAACAAAATGGTTTCTTTTATAATCAACCCTGAAAAATAAGATGAAAATAAAATTTATAAAACTAATTTATTTGATAGACAAATGTCAGCTTGATTTGTTTTGATAAGAGTTTTTGGTTCTACTAGAGTATGATATCTACCATCCACTTTCTACTAGAGTATGATACCTACCATCCACTGTCTACTAGAGTATGATACCTACCATCCACTGTCTACTAGAGTATGATACCTACCATCCACTGTCTACTAGAGTATGATACCTACCATCCACTGTCTACTAGAGTATGATACCTACCATCCACTGTCTACTAGAGTATGATACCTACCATCCACTGTCTACTAGAGTATGATACCTACCATCCATTGTCTACTAGAGTATGATACCTACCATCCATTGTCTACTAGAGTATGATACCTACCATCCATTGTCTACTAGAGTATGATACCTACCATCCATTTTCTACTAGAGTATGATACCTACCATCCATTTTCTACTAGAGTATGATACCTACCATCCATTTTCTACTATGGTATTATATTTACCAACTGTTGGAGGTATGAAATATGTTTGGGATAGAGACAGTAAACTGGTGATGTATTAAAAATCATTAACATTTTTTTATACAAAAAATAAAAAAAAAATCATCAAATGGTGATTTTAATGTTTGTAAACTGATTTGAAGTCATTTAAGAAAAAAAACAGTAAACAGTTCATCATTTTTCCTGAGTATTTTCAAGCAATAATCAATGGATTATCATTTACAGTAGGTTGCAAATGCCTTGGTAGATATCATACTATATTAGCACTGTGTTTTTTTCTTTTTTTTTTTAATCATTTCAACCCAAGCAATGTGACATTGCCACTAGAATATAGGGATTTACAGGGAGTGAAAATGGACAGGCTTCAAGAAAACAGAAGATGGTGATTGACATTCATATTTAAATTTTTGAAGATTGTAGTTATCATGAAGTAAGAAATTGAATTGGAAGGGAGTTCCACAGGTGGGATGTGTGAGAAAAAACTTTTAGAGTAGAAATGATGGTTGCATCTAACTAGTTCAACTATAAAATGGTGAGACCTAGTTGCCAATCTAGTAGCATGCTTCAATTCATGTAGATGGAGCACCTGGAAAAAAGCTTGTTTGAGCAGTTGCCATGAAAATATTTGTAGAAAAGACAATAGGAAGCCATGACACCTTGGTGAGAAAGTGATTAGAAATGAGATGATTGGTTAGGATCAATTGGATTGCAGACCCTTTTCTGGATTTTATCAAGAATCTGGAAATGCATAGCAGGAACACCAGACCAGATATGGCAACAGTATTCATACACAGGTGAATTGTAGGCAGAAAAGGTTTTCTGTGATAATTAAATGAAAGCAGTTTTGTTTTGGAGGTGTAAAAATTTACAGGCCATTTCTTGCCCCAGTTAACAACTGATTGAAGGTATTTTCAAGAGTAGTTGCCAGGTTTACTTTGTCAGATGTGTTGGATATTCCTTGTTTAACATTAAACACTCTGTAGGTGTCTTTGATTTCACATAGCAGTTTGTCCTCTCATCAGACAATATTGTGTTTGACATATAGGAAAAGAGAAGACTCTGTTTTTTCTGGCAGTTTTTACTGCATGACCTTTGCCTTTCCTCATGTTAGAAATGTAATGCAGCCAATGAATTGAATTTAAGATTCTTTCCAGCTTTCTTTCAAGACTCACTCCTCATTTGATCAGTTGTAATATGCAAATTCAAAATACATTGTTCTTTATTTGTTAACATCAGGTAATTTTAGCTGAGCTTTATCATACTTAACAAGTTCTCCATGCTTAAAATATATAAAACCTAAGGAGAGTTAGAAATTCCAGTTATTAATTCTTAAAGTTATATTTAAAATATTTCATTTCATGTTTAAAATATGCTCAATTTTTGGACTAATCTTAACTTTGTCCTTCTTATAAGCTTCATGGTAAGAAAATATATAAACAGGTTATCAAAATAAAATCCTCCAAAAAATCTTCAAAACTGGGAATAATTTAGCTGATAGGACATAGAAAAAAGAAGGGCTAAATAAGAATGCAATGGGTTTATCTAAACAAAAGATTTTGGTCAAAAACAAGATGGAAACTTTTGCATTAATCTAATAGGATATGAAACTCAACGGAGAAATAATTACCTATTTGTGTAGAATGTTTTTAAAAATGGTGTTTGGGTTAAACTATGGGGTTAAATAAACATCATGTTTCTTCTTTTTCCACCTCTTTTTTTCTGTTTCTTCTTCTTCCACTTCTTTTTCTGTTTCTTCTTTCTCTTCTGTTTTCTCCTCTTCTTTCTTCCTTCTCTTTTCAGCTTCTTTCTTCTCTTTATTTATTCTTTCCCCACTTTCCTGTTTCTTCTTCTTTTGTTTCTACTTCTTCCTCTTTTCTTTTTTATTTTTCCCCCTTTTTCTTTTCTTCTTTATCTTTTTCTTTTTTCTTCTTCTCCTCTTCTCCCTCTCTTTTCTGCTTCTTATTCTTTTTTCTCTTTATTTCTTCTTTTTTCTTTATCTTCTACATTATTTCCTGATTTTTTTCATAACATTTTTATTCAGGTCAAGAATGTCTGTCAGATATTTTCTGGCTCATTGTGCACAACATGGGTTGGCTGGAGACCCAACTTGACATTCAGACTACTCTACCACGGAACGAAGAAAAAGCCCATGCTTCATTCACCATCAACTTTCTTCCTGTTGCTCCTCCTTCATTCAACCCTCTTGCTACCTTTGATGAGATTGGAAATGCAAAATTGGATGCAGTAAGTATAAATTCATTTCAGTATCAATATATTCTGTTTGTTATGGGTAAGTGATGCGCAAGCACGTTAATTATTATCGTAATGAAAGGAGGTGAGAGAAAACAAATAGGCTGTATGAAAAGTAACTATAAGATATTTATGTCTTTCACTTTTTCCTCTTTGCCGCACATCCCATTTCAAGCCAGTCAGCCCAGCCCCATAAAATAGATATATGTGAAATCAGATCAAATACGCATAAGATACCTAACACCAACATTGAAAAATGCATGTTCAGGCCAGGAAAACTGTCTCCTCTCCCAAACACATATTTTAATAAAAATTTAAAAAGAAAGTCAGTAGACAAAAATCCCTTATGCCGATAAGATCACAGATTGTCTTCCTTGTATAGTGAGAAAAAACAGTAATTAGACACCCAGAATTACTTCATAGACAAAATAAAGAATTAATTTTAAACTGTTAATGAACTGATTTTCTTTCATAATGGGATTAAGACAATCAACAAGATGAAGTCATTGAACTTCATCTAATAATGCAAAGAGAGGATTTTGCACTGTTTACTTCTGAAATGCTTGGAAAATAACTCCCCTATACTCAAGAAGTTTCCAGATAAGTATTTGGCCCATCTTCACCATTTCTACCCTATACACATATTCACCAAACAAACAAACTCCCATCATTATATTTAACATACACCACATTCCATCACATGACTATGTCTATCTCTTTCTCTTATTTGTGATTGTTCTCTTATTAAAATTTTGTTTAGCTTTCATATGCTCATTTGTGTTATTCTTTTACTGGTTATTGATATTCAATTTTGTGTATTGAATCATTCCATTCTGACAGACCATCCAATTTTTTTTAATGAATCTCCTAAACTCATCACCTTAGATATTGAAGCCAATCATCAGAAAAAATATAAATTCATTTATAAACGGATATCATAAGGATATATGGAGCCTGTATAATATTATATATCCTTCTCCCAGTGGTAATAAATTGTTATGGTAGCATGAGGCCAAGTAAAATAAAATATGTTGCTAGAAGTTTTAACACTGTGTTAATCATCTTAGATTTCCAAAAATGAATAGGTGCCTGGACTGTTTACACAACCCAGTAAAAAATGCTTATAGTGTTACAGTTATGTAAAATAATGTTATACTGCTTAAAAAATTACATAACAGGCAAACTCTATTACAATAAATATTAAATCAAAACTTAAACTGGAGATATAATTATTCATTGAAATGAAAATGATAATAAATTTCTTGTATAAAACATATGCTGTAAATTGTAGGTGAAACACACCAATAATAGAGAAAAGTTTTATTCATCAAAAATAGCTACAATATATTTCCATGAATAGAAATATATTACATAAGCTTATAAGAAGATATGGGTACGTGGGCGAGTGGTTAGAATGATCGCATTCTGACCATGAGACACGGGTTCAAATCTCACCATGGTCAATTTGTCAAGCAGGAGACTTCCTGATGTTTCCAGACTGGAGGGGTTGATCCCAGTGTGCCTTGTGAGTGAAATTGGATAGACGGAACCCTTGGGTGCCATCAATATTATTAGTTATTGTGACCAAGGGCTTGAGCATGCTGGCCTTGTTCAAATTGTTGACCATGTTAGATTCTCTTTCCCAGCATAGTTGCAGTATAAACCACAGGTGGGCTCTGTGGGTGTTGAATAAACACAAATGTGCCTGAGCAAGCATCTGCAATATGGATTGGCTAGCCACCCTAGCAGACAGGCATCCTTGAATATGAGTAGCCAGCTATATATATATATATATATATATATATATATATATACATTAGCTAAACTCATAATTACAGAACTGAAAGAGTAATTATATATATATGTGTGTGTGTGTGCGTATCATGAAAACTTACCTTGGTTAAGTAGGTGCAGTGTCAGAACATACCAATGAAAACAAAGCAATGTCTGCCTCCCAACTAAGCTATAACCATGCCACACCCCATGCTACACCCCCTCACTGAGTCAGTTGAGTAGTGGGAGGGAGCAAAAGAAACTAGGAATTACAAGTACTTTAAAAATATTAGTGTGACAAGACATACCATGTGACTAATGCAGAATAAAAATCCATTATTTCAAGGCAAGGAAGGGTTACTTTATTCTGTTCCAATCATGTTCAAACCCTATTAGTTTCCTCTATTTTTCTCTGTTTCACATGATCTGCCATACCTGATTCTATCATTTTATAGCTTTTTTCCAGCCATTTAGAATATGGCTGGTCTTGCCTTTAATGTTCCATATGACAATTGTATGGAAATACAAAGTTTACTTTTTATGGACATATTCTCTTCTGACAGAGGCTTAACTCCTGTCAAGTATCTCCAAAAGCTGAAAGATATTGTCTGGATTGCAGATGCTCTGAATCCTTTCTGACACACTCCTGGTGTAAGCTAGAAATACTCAGATAGTTTTGAATCTATTGTCACCAGCCTTTGTAAATGACAAATTAGAATTTGATTTTACATGTGGAAATATAAATATGAAATGAGAAAGTATTAAAAAAAATGGAAGGTATTTTTTTTTTTTTTTTTTTTTTTAAATTTTAGTCAAATGTAAATGTTTTCTTCTTCAAAGGTCATCTATTTGAAGCTCAACTCAAACACCATTGACTAATTTCTTTCATTCCTTTCTGTCTTCCATGATCTTCATTATTTCTTCACACATCAAATGATTGTCTCTTCAGCTTGCTCCATGTCTTTTATTTATTCTCCCCCCTCTTCCATTTTCTTGATTTAGGTTCCCACAAGAGTATTTTAATTAACATCACTTCTTTCCTTCTCTAAATATGCCCAGCAAATTGCAGTTTTCTAATCTGTCATAATTCAGTTACACTTTGCAGTTTTCTGTAGAGCTCCTTATTTGTGTTTGTTGTAGAAATTATCCTTTTCACTGGTATTAACTGCAGCAGGATCTTTTAAAAATAATTCCCTAAACTAAATTTAAATAAAACCACATAGTCATTTATTCTCAAGTTGTAATGTACTGCTATAGACGAGCGAAGCAAAGATGAAGCATAGGCAAGGCAGGGGAAAGTGAACCATCTAACGGACATTTTCCCTTTCATGTCAGTTGTTCTCCGTGGGCTCTCTGTCTTTCTGTTTTTTCATTGGTAGTGGCCACTATCTTATAGAGAACATTACTCTTTGTCTTGTCGTCTTTGACTACAAAGTAATTTATCTTCATTCAGTGACTCTTTGTCCAAGCTGCTTGCTATGTACTTGAGAAATCAACTTCACTTAAATCCATTTTTATGACAGGTCAACTGTTTTCCATTTAATTTTTTTTAGAGCACTCAACTTTTGAAAATAAACCTATAAGCACAGTTGCTTTTTATTCCATTTAACTCTTTGGGATTGGCTGATGAGATTTCTCTTGAGAAATTTCTTTATCTTAGTTTAGTTTTTTTTTAGCAGCTGACAATATTTTGCTGATATAACATCACACAAAAACAGTAACATAACTATAGGGGGTACCCTGGACAACACAGTCTGTCTCCGGCACGAGACAAATGTAACACTTTTATGAGGGCAGCATTTTGGGTCTGCTGCATAAGTCTGTATTGAAATAAAAATGGTTCTAATGTTGGGACAGTTTTCAATTTCGAGCAGGTTAAACTATGGCATATGTATTTAACTGATTATTATGTTGGCTGAATAATTAACATTATCCAATGATGTATTCAGGGCTGTTTTATCATTGTTGACAATTTGAAACCTGTGAACAAAATCATGATGTGCTCTTTTAATGCCACAGTGCCACTGTATGTGGGAGACACATCTTGGTTGTTATATAAATTTCAGTTATTTTATTTGATAGATGTTCATTTGAGAGTATGTGTTTCTCTATTTTTCATCTCTTGGGCCTATTAAGAGGGAGTCACTGTGCAATATGTTGTATTTTTTGCTAGGGGGAGGGGAGTCAAGCTCATTGGCTGCTCTGGGTGGCATACATTCTAGCTATGGCACTTCTCAAAAATGTCTCTGAACTTAATATAAAATCAACAGAAAATAAACTGTTATTGGTTTTTCTCTTTCCAGGAGAAAATAAATAAATTTGACTGCAATTGGAATGATCTACTTTTTCGGGATCTTGGACTGAGCATCTATGGACTTCGCACATTGCTGATGAACAGGCATGATATGCAAGAGGGTGCATTTTTGGAGGAACATGAACGGAAACCTGTCGATGGACTCCGCCTACTGCTTGATTATGACACCAATGATCTCCGCTAGAACCAGGCCTTCAACCCTCAAGTTTGTTTTGGCTAATCTCCCTTCCTTTTTTTTTTCCTTTGACCATTGTGTTGCTGACCTACTACTGTTGGCATTGCTGTTTCTTCTGACTTCTCTACCACCTGCCTCCTTTGTTTTGGAGGGGTCAGCACACAGGTACCTATGGTCAGTTTTGTCCTCCCTGTAGTACTTGCTTCAATCTGTACTGGTGAGGTCGTCCTATTTGATATTTCAGTGCCTGGTCTGAGCTAAGCAGGGCAAGAATTAGGCTTTTGAGGACCCTGCAGCCACAATTTTGTCACCATTCATTTCTGTTGATTTGACTGACTGGTAGGATAATTGATCTTTGGTTGATGTATTGAATTTGGATATGTAATTCCTTGAACTTTATTTAATAAGTTTTTCTTTTCTTTTTTTAAATGATACTTTCTTCTCTTAAATGTTTCCAAATTAAAATCAGATGTTCTATTCATCACACCATCTTTTTGTACATAGTTTGCACTTGTCTATTTCAGATACATACAATTTTCCTTTCTATTTCCATTTAAAAAATGCACTATTCAATGATTAGTGTATTTTTTTTTTTCTGTTTCTACGCATACACACATATATGTGGGTGGGTATTCGTATATATGAGGGTGTGTGTAAAGGTTCTTGGCCTGACCAAAAAGCAATATCAAAAGAAAAAAAAACAGATGTTTGGTCATTTGGTAAAATGGTTTGGGCCGAGAACTTTTTCGTATCCCCTTGTATATATATATATGTGGAAGTGTATGTTGTATATGCACACACACACACACACACACATATATGTATGAATAATTATATTGTTTGAAATTTTCTATGTTTATGAGAGAAGAGTGGTCAATATCAGATTAAGCATTTGTAGATATAGACTGTGAACAAAGACTTCAACACTGAATGGTGACTGTCAGTTTCACACCTTAAGTGATCTGCAGACTATGTATTATTCTTCCTTGCATGGGCTTTGTATAGCAGATGCAATGTTGATTTCTATATACCTCTCCTTGTGTGTGTGTGTATATATATATATATAAAGAAAAATATACACTCTGGATTTCTTGAATATTCAGGCCAGTAGACAAAAATAAAAATACTTTTTAATAGATATGAGTATCCACTAAAAATAATGTTGAAGTAATAGAATCTGTAATAAAAAAAGCCATCACTTCTTTAGTAATTGCTTTTTTTACATTAGGATATGAAACTGAGCAGAGATGAATGTTTCAAGAGTCAGACAGATTTGTACTTATAAGGCACTATTCACCTTTGCTTGACCATCGACACTCTTTGTAGCCAAGAAGTCTAAGGCATGTCCAATTTAATGATGGTTTCCCCTGGCCAGGGGAACATGCAGATTCATATCCTGCCAGAGGCCATGCAGACACACACACACACACACACACACACACATATATATATATATATATATATATATATATATATGCACACACCACATACACACACACATATATATATATATATATATATATGGACACTGAGATCAGCACCAAGTGAAGACAGTCTGTTTCATGCTTCAATGGCCTTTAAATATGAAACAAACTGTTGCCACTCAGTGTTGACCTCTGTGTCAAGTCTTATATTTATACACACTCTGTTTCTGATACTGACCACTTTTTCCCATAAATATAGCATACCTTAAAACTATATTTTTAATCATATATATATATATATATATATATATATATATATATATATATATATATATATATCCTTGTCACTGGATCTTGGAGAAGTTATCAAAGTGATGAGCTTTGACCTATGAATTAAAAAAAATCTACTCTGGCACACATTTCTTGAAAGAAACCATCATCATCAGCATCCCTTGGGACAGATAGTGATATGTATATGTGGGTATTTATTTATTTTATGTATAAATGTGTTTGTTTGTTTGTGTGTGTGTATATATATATATATATATATATATATATATATATATATTTTATGTGTGAGAGACATGTTTCATTCTTTTAGACTTCATCTGACTAAAGTGATGTTTATGTAATTTTTTTTATAAATATATATTTGGTTATATAGCCTAGCAAATTTCATTTAGTTTCTTTTTGTTTGTTTTTATCTCTTTTGTTATTAAATATTCTACATTGTGATAATAAAAGGTTTGCCAAATGCCAAGATAGGTGAAATGTTGTAAGAATCTGGAAGTAAATTTACTCTGGATCATCTAGTGATTAAAGCTTTTGTTTATCTTAGTAAGTTGCTTTCCCTTTTAATTAAAATAGCATTTTTTTAAATCAAAATAATCTTCAGACTCATTATGATGAACAACTAATGCATTGAGTGTGTTGTTTTGTAAAAAATCCCTTTTATGTTCATGTAATCTTTTATCTAAATTCCTTGATGTTTCACCTATGTATAACTTGTTGCAATTATTACAGGTGATACAGTAAATTCCTCCAAATTTTAGCTTATTATTGTTTTAGATTAAGTTTTTTAATGATTCAGATTTAATTGTAACAAATTTTATGTTAAGCTTAAATAATTTTTTTCGATTGTAAAAAACAAAAATTATTTTTTAAGTTTAAAATTTCAGCATCCCCTCTCCTTCAAGCGTATATGTAATCAGATCAATGTCAACATCACTTTAGTCTGAAGAAGTCCTAAAGAATGAAATTCATTACAGAAAAAAATTTTTTCTTTGTCATTGATTTTCCTAAAATTTATATATCTTTTCCTCATTCTATATATATATATATATATATATATATATATATTTTAAGACATTTTTATGTTTATACATTCTTTTATAGATACAAATATTTAAGTAATTGCTAACCGAATGCTCCTCTGTGGCCCAATTGGCTAAAGGCACGTCAGGCTATATGACAGTTCTGTATAGAATACAGGTTCGAATCCTGTCAGAGGACAAATATTTTCTGTGAAAATTTCTCAGACATTCAGGCGGTAAATGTTGTTTAATACTGTTTATTATAAACAGAGCATTTACTTAAATATTTGTATCTATAAAAAGAATGTATAAACATGAAAATGTCTTAAAATAATTGTCGGACTTTGTCCATTTCATATATATATATATATATATATATATATATATATATATATATATGTGTATGTATTTTAAAATTGAAATTACTATTTATTTTCCCTTTTTAGTTGTTGATAGGCTTAGTGGTTTTATAAACACTTCTGTTAAGATTTAGGAATGATGTTCATTTTAAGAAATGTTTGCCATCTCTCATCCACAGTGACCCAAGAAAGAATCTCACCTGTAAGATTTTTGGAGGAACAGAAGTTTTTACTTTGGAAATAATTTAAAAAAATTTTTTTCGCTTATATGTCTCACTTTGTAAAAATTTCTGTTGGAAGATTTCTCAAAAGTAATAAAGAATTGATTTGTTCGAGAGAAAAGAATATTTGGTAATGAAAAAAAAATGTATAATTTTTTGATGGATGTATATTTATAATTTTGTATTAGTCACATGGGTTGTTTTGTTACCTCAAGTTTTAAAAAAATATTCCTAATTGGCAACTTTCTTTTGCTCCTTCCAAGTACTCTTTTGACTCAGTGATGCTGTGTATCATGCAGTATGGCATAGTTGTAGATCAGTTGTCGTTGGATGCAGAAATCCATTTTCAGAAATCAAAGGTTAATAATACAGTGTTAAGGAATTAATGGAATTATAGCCATAGTCTGACACTATTTATTCTTAGTACATACTTTATATTTAATGGATATATATGTTTGAGAATATGTCACCATTTTTTAAACAGTATATTTTTCAACTACTGGCCTGTAGAGTCTTTCAAGAATAATATAACATATAGTAATAATAAAAAATAAATGTAAAATGAGTTATAATATTTACTTATTTTTCAGATAGGAAAGGGAAGTAACTCTTATTATCCTCATCCTGACTGTTTTTCATTTATGTTATACTTTCAGTACAATATTGCAAGCAGGAAAAGCAGAAATGTGTTAGATTTTGATTCTACAGCCTCAACTAGAAAAAATTATTGAATTACTATTAAATGATCTATGGATGTCATGCATGATGTCCAACTTGTTTAGAAATGTCTAAACTATCATCTCTATGCAACTGTTTTCATGCTAAAAATAGTTTCAACTAAGTGAATCTGCTAGGTCTTAAAGACCCCCCCGTCATCAGACTCTATAGACTGGTACTACAAAAATCACAATAACATAAACCACATCACTTGAAGACTTTCAATAGTAGTAACAAATAAAATAGTTCACATATAAATAGAAGGGAAAATAATGATATAATCTAGATGTTGACTTCCCACACAAACTTAAATAAAAGGTTAGGAAGGAAACTCATGTCAGTACTAGAAAGAGCTATAACAGTTAGCCTTTTTTTTCTTTCTTTTTTTTTTTTTTTTTTTTGAAAATCTGTTTTAAAAGAAAGATTTTATAAATTCCAACCAACATTAACACTAACTGTTCCATCAAGGAATGGCTAATGTTACCTGTATGGAAACTGCCAATCTCACCATAACATCTACAGCTAGCCAGAGTTTAACATTTGTGTCTGCAAAAAATAGTGTTTCAAAATGATGTTTTTTTTTTTTTTTTTCCCATGATGCTACTATTACTCTGTACTCCCTAAGCATTTTAAATTCTTTAAAAACCTATTTTTAGAATTTTAATAAAACCCCAAAATATGAAACTGAATTTATACATTCCTCTGTTTTCTCAAGAGTTGATGACAAAAGAATTAATCATTTTATTTTATTAGATTGTTTATGTGCAAGATTTTATATTTACAAGATTATAAAAAGATGTGAACCAACTACAATTCATTTCCATATCTTTGAAATGAGGTATTATGATTACTTGCATTATTTACATTACTTAGACTGTTAGCCTCATCTTCATTGCCATATTCACAATAGTTTAGCTGTTGTACACTCCAACCTTCTTCAAGTGATTGGAGTTAAAAATCGAACCCTATATTTTG